TTGAAAGATATATGTTGAAGCCTTCACCAGCTGTTACTCAAATTGGTCATAGTCATAGAGGCCTGGCATGGCCAGGTGGTTAGGGCGCTCGTCTCGCAATCTGCGGGTTGCGGGTTCAATTCCTTGTCACACCAAACATGCTTGCCCTTTCAGCCATGGGGGCATTAAAATGTGACGGTCAATCCCACTCTTCGTTTATAAAAGAGTAGCCCAAGATTTGGCAGTGGGTGGTGATGACTAGCTGCCTTCCCTTTAGTCTTACACTGCTAAATTAGGGACGGCTAGTGTAGATAGGCCTTGTGTAGCTTTACGCAAAATTCAAAACAAACATAGTGATAGAGTATATCTTAACAGGCTCAGGCAGAAATATGATGAAAGAAACAGATTGGGTGAAGAAGGAAGGAAGAAAAAATGTAAAATAACAGTTGTTCTTTATAGGGAAGGAAATATAGATACTAAGTTTACCAAGATACATAATGGAAGTTGGTTGAGGATTAAGGAAGTGGTTCTGAGTTAGACATAAGTAACATTCTAACATATCAGAACCCCTGGCTATTGGTGAGGGTGGAGAAAGGATTCTGAAGTATTTGTAGTAGATCTCTAATTAAGTATGTTGAATTGGTTGCTTGTGTTGGTGGTCATAAGAAATCGAAGCCTAGAATTTACTTATCATGGGTTGAAGTTCAGGATTTTATAGAAGGATTAGATGGGTTAGTGGTAGGCATTAAGAATGCTTTTCCATTTACAATTTATGCTGGAGCTAATAATGTTAGTAAGTGAGCTACATATGAACATTAAGGATAGAAACTGTCAAGTGGAAAGTTTGGGAGTTCTTTGGTGTGTTAATGAATATGAAAGGGGAATGCATAGATAAATTGAGATATTATTAAGGTTATATCTGAAGCAAGAGGTAAACTATATCTATGGTACAGATTTAACATCAAGAGAGCAATGTTTATACATGGTGCATGGGCTTCATGTCAGTAGTTTGGTAAGTAGAATATATGAGAAACTTTTATGACTTTTATTAGAGAATTTTTAAGTTTAAATATGAAATTTCTTTTATCTTGAAGGGTCATGCTAAGGATTTTAGAGGATATGACATAAATAGATTAGTTGATAATACTGACAGAAAGGTTAAAAATGACCATAATTTCTTTCATCCCAGTACTAGACCTCTCTGCAATATATGTAAGTTACTTGAATTAGAAGTCTGATGGCAGGTAGTAGAGTAGATGTCAGTGGTATTAATTTCTTGATTTAGGGGTGACCTTGATGGATGGAATGACATTCAGTCACCTTGTTTTTCCAATGTTTCTATGAGCTATACTTTCTTGAAGTTTTTTCCCCAAGAGATACTTTCCCATGAACAATAAGAAATTATTTTCTATATCTAATTGTAGCCGAAAATATTGTTAACAGCAAGGGTATCCAACTGATGAAACAATGTATTCTAATCTTTATAACTGAGAACATAAGAAAAGTATATGTAGCTTTACTCATTATCAGGTTGATTTTTAGTTTTATTCTAAATAGGTAGCTTGCTTTGATTGAAAGTTAGTATTAAAAATGAATCGAACATGCTATAAATCTCTTTAAATCTCATGTTTACAGTTCTTGATTCTCTTTCTACAGCTCACATAAGTATAGAACTTCTTCAAGCCATGTATGATGTTTTGAGCTAAGACTTGTTTCTGTTAGGCTGAACAACAGCTTTCCTACACTTGTTCTTTTTTTTATCATAATCTTAATATTCTCTGTTTTATCTATCCTGAAAATAAACTTCTTGTGGGGTTATTAATTCCAAACAAATAAAAATCTTGGAAAAAAAAGGAGAAAATCAAACAACAACAACAAAAAAAATTGGATAACCTTTTAATTTTTTTCTCCACATTTTGGAGAAGTCTGGTTTTTCCTCTTGATAACGAAATCAAGATCTAAGTAAAACACATTATCATTTTGAATTCTAAGTTTTTCAGTGTGCATTGAATAAATACAGTGTTAAGCAGACTAATCTTCTGTGATCTTATGAACCAAATAGAATGTTGAGAGCAAACTACCAGTGGACCAACATCTTACCTTGTTGGACTAACTTCATCAAGTAATACATTCAAAATAACATGAAAAAAAACTTCACAGATTAAATCTAGTGACATCTAGAACTACTGTTATAAGAAATTTCTTAATCCTTCACCTTATTTGCTCATACTGTGGTAGACATTAAACTAGAAGCTTACTTAATATATTCAAATCATCAGCAATAGTCTTCTTTCTTATGGGTGAGTGACATGATTGTTTTTTACTTATGTTATAACAGCAAATAACATAGGACAGTTGAATTAAATGAAGAAAGTACTCTGTGACCCATTGAAGTAGGTATGAATCTCCACTACTTGTTTAGATTAATGATCTCATCTGATTTTTGTATAGATGTAATTTTGCTGTTTAAAAGTACTAAAAGGAAAACATGTTTAATGCTTGTCAGAATTCAGAAATTTCTGATGGACGAACCTAAAAGATGATGTTTTTAAATGACACACATTATTCCTTCTTATGATAATTTTATGGAGTTGTTTTGGGTAATATACCTCATACTTGTTAGGATGAAAAGGTTGAGAAGATAATCTTTGCTGGATGTCAAGAATTATTGGCTGAACCATTTCTAACATTTTTTGCAATTTTTGTGTAATAATTTTTTTTTAAATGACTGAAATATGTATGTTTTACTCTGAAAGGGAGTATCTTAGAATTACGTGTTTTCATGAGCAACAGCAATATAAGATAGTCTTACAAAGTTGAAGCTAATCTGATTTTTGTTACTAGTTTATGAATTGGAAGCAGGTTTGAATGAGATAATCAGGCTATGGCTCATTGTCAGTTTTCTTAATACAGATGTATGTGTTAAGGGACATTTTCAACAAGTATTTCTCTCTAGTAAGCAGTTCAATATGAAAAAATAATTTTGGCAGTGTTTGCTGCCAGACAGTTGTCTTTCCTCTGGTCAGCAATTCAAAATTAGTGACAGCGACATATAAAATTAGTAGCACTGCCATGTCAAAGACAAGGCAAAAAAGTTTAGTGGTAATAGGAATCGAACTGAGACCCTCAAAAAATTAAGCAGAGCACAAATAATTCAATATGTAGCTTTGTGTTTAACAACAAACAAACGAAAAAACATAATAGCAAAATAGAGACAGTTACCTAATGATGACCATACGAGTGGTTGAAATGTCCTAAAAAAGCTAAATGAAAATAAGCTATCCACTCAAAAGCTGTATCTTTGAACTTGTATTTAAAGTGTAAATAGATTTCCTCTCCTCACAACAAACATAATAGCAGTACTTTGATTACTTGGATAGTTGGAATAATAAAAAATATCAATAATTAGAAACTGTAATTTTGAATGTTTGATAATTTTTGTGACATTTGATATAATTGTAATTTTGATTAATCAGTTGTTGGAATAACCGCAAACAGTAATAATCAAAATCACTAATTTCAATTAATTGATTTGTTTACATGACACTAATCAATGTAATCACTACTCGTAGATAATCAATTAAATTGCCTAGCTCTACTGCTGACAAAAGCAGATAACATTACAAATTAGACTGCAAGATAACAACCCTGATAAATGGTTAATGTCATGATACATATGCACTGTTTTAGGAACATCATATTTTGTATGTCTTAGGTTATAAATATACATATATAAATATATATAACTGGTAAATGTCAGAATATATGGGTAGTATTAAGTACATGCTGCTTTGTGGATTCCATATAACAAGTAAATGCAAATTTATGTAATTTTATGTTTTGTTATATAAACACATGCACACATTCAAGTTGGGTATGCAGTGTTTTGTTGTTACAAACTGCCCTGCCAAAAATATCCAAACAATGTAGTCAGACAGGGGTTCTAGCTACCTCTGTTTTAATATAGTGCAGTACCAGTCTTGACCTGAATAACTACTGCTGTTATATGACTTGTGCCCTCAATTGGAGTCCAGTATCTGGTACAGTTTATTTCTTTGTTTATCAAAAGCTCAGCTAGTTGGTCACAAATGGAAGGTTGTGGTCCCAGAGATGTTCTAAAAGGTTAATAACTGGGATTCAGTTGGTTAAACTGGTCATTCTAAAATGTTGATGTTACTACTTTGAAATTAGGCATGGCTGCAAGTGCCTTATGATGAGCAGTTTAATACTGTTGAAACAACATAATGGCTTAGGTAAAACAAAAGAAAGAAAAAACTGTATCGGATCTTCTTCATTTAAGATCTTTTTATATTCTTGGAACATCCAGACATGTAAATGATTCATGAATATCTCCCACATTTAATGTGTTGAATGCAGCTCAAACCATAACACACCCACCACAATTTTTCACAAAGGACATGATACATTCATGGTTGTGTTATTCACTGGCTTATCTGTATCTTTCATACTTGTCTTTAAAATTGGATGAAGCAGTTCCTTGTACTTCATAAAGTTACAACAAGTCATCAGGAGTACAGTGCTGCACAACATTACAGATGATGCCTGCTAGCATATTACCTTGTCAGTTGTAATAAAGCTACTGTGAATATTTTGCAAAGGATATTCTGGGCATTTTATGCAATCCTAATAAGTAAAGATTTGTTTGTAGTGTAGCATTGACTTCTTAATCATCAATGTAACACTGTTTATGTTGGCAGTTGAATTTTTTTTATAAATTTTATTAATGAGTTAGTTTCATTTAGTTGTGAGACACTAATGCTTCAGTGATCCAGATCAGTTTAATGGTCTACCACCTGGTGGCCAAATGATTTGCATTTTATGTCCATCTAACTTTTGTTTTATACAAGTCTACTACCATTTACTGTTCAGGTTTGGTTGTCAGAACAGAACATTCATGTTGAGGATTTCTGGTTAACATTGAAAAAATGTTTAAGGAGTTTTGAGCATTACAGTGTGATTGTAATTAATAAATATTTAATTTTTTTCTTTCTTTCTTTTAGATAAGATGGGAAAAAAATATTACATTAGGAGAACCACCAGGATTTCTTCATTCATGGTGGTGGTAAGTATTCATTTTGTCAACAGATATTATAAAATTTAGATAGTTTGATATATTTTGTAATTATATTCCGCAAAATAGTCTTGTATTTCAAAGCTGATATTCAACATCATGATTTAGAAAATATTTAAAACAAAAGTACACACACATGAATTATACTCTAGATGATGTGTATAAAGTGTCATGGTGAGATACTGTTAAATAACAGGTTGCATCAAATGGTTTACTATTTATATACAGGATGGGGCAAAAGTTAATATACAGTTGGTATTATATGCTTGGTTACTAAAGATAATATTAAAAAAACAATTGAAATCAATTTAATTATTGTTTGTTTCAGAGTAAGTAATTAGAAATTAAAGTATGTTCTAAATGAATAATTACTTTATCTGTACGCATATGTAACAACTAAAGTTTGAAATCACTTTCATAAACAGTGTACAGTAAAAGAATATATTATTCTAAAAGGAAGCTAATAAGAATTAAAAATGCCAACTGTAACTGGCTTAGTTTTGGAATTTAGTCAGTATTGTAACTGGATTATTTTTTTTGTCAGTACTGTAAACTGGCTTGGTTTTGTTAGTGATGTAACTAAGATGGGTTTGCCACTATAGTAACTGCTGTGGTTTCGACAGAATATATAATTTAATCAATATTATAAGTAGTATGATTTTGTAACTTCCTTATTATATATATATATATATATATTGATCAGGTTGATTTGTAACAAATTTTATGTTTCTATACATACTAACAGACTATTTATAATTCAAGCTGTATGCTCCTCAGAAACATTTTACATTTCACAAATCATCTAAACAAAATTTTAATTTTTCAATATGACTTATTATAATAAAGTGCTCCTTGAACTTGTATTAACACTTACCAAACAAAGCTGTCTGTATCTTATAAGTGGATGACTTTATGGGGGAAATTTATAAAACTTCACAATTGCTAACTAAACAAGGGTTCTAATTTACATGCAAGTCCATTTCTGATTATAAACATTCTTGCATGGCTGATAAGTTAGAAATTGGGTGTTTTAGTTAGTACAGTATATTTATGGTAGGTTATTCATATTTTTACATTATATAAAGGTGCAAGTAGAATGATTACATTTACCCTAATGAAGATTTTTTAAAACCTAATCTTAAAACAAACTTATGTTAGTTTGTTTAGGTCAGTGGGCCCCAACTTTGTCATGCCACAAACCCATAGTCGAATCTTTGACCAAGTGGCATATTCCTAGTGCATACAGTTTGTTAAAAGAAACTTGTATGGTTTATATCAATAAAAAGGTAAATCAAAAGAAATAATTCAAGAATAGGTCAACAGTATGCAGAAGTTGAGTGCTGGTACTGGAATATGTTGGTAATTTACCGAGGGCTACTCTCCAGTTTTGAGGTCTGTGGTTTATTTTTCATTTAATGTTTTTCAAAAGTTCTTGCAACCCACAGAAAGGTTTTGCACACCACAGGTTGCCCCATACACATACAGTGGCTCACCTTCAAATCTAAAAAAATCTTCAAATTCTAAAGCTAAAAACTGGGTAAAAACTGATAAAACTACTTAGTTATTTGATGATAGTTTTATTAAGGTTTGTAAAACAATTTTTTTTCTTCTAAGAATATGTGTGTGATTTTTTTTTAAATGACCACGAGGGAGAGAGTTAAAAGTCTTGCTGTTAATTTCTGTTACAGTTGTTCTGAGATCGACCTAGCTGGTCTGAATTTGAATTCATTCCAGACTCTAGTTATTATTTAATTTTTGGATTATATACTTATTTGTAATTTGTGTGTGTATGTATGTGTGCTATTAGGTATGTTCAGAAGCCAGTGCACTATTGTACAGACTTACCATTATAGTAATAAGGTGTTAGAATTATAGGAATTCAATACTGTTATATTGAGGTAATGAAGATAAAATAATTAGCAATCCTTTACCTGAAACTTATAAAAATGTAAAAAAAAATTGAAAAGGAAAGAAAAAAAGGATTTAAATGTGCAGTTACGAAAACACAGAATAATTTTTAAATTTTGTGATTGATGTTTGGAATAACACCATGTCAATACTATTCAGTGAAATCAACTTACAAATATATGTCATTGTTTCGACTATCTAACTAGAGTTGTCTTAGTAATTCATTCTACCATTGTTAATGTTTGTGAATCCACCTGGTGGCAATAATTAATGGGTAAGTTGAAGAATTGAGCATTAGTTGTTTGCATTTTATTTCCTATGCTACAGCTAACCTTGATGGTAGAAAAATTTACTACAATATTGAATTGTTCAGTTGAGTAAGAGCTTAGTTTTGCTTTGTAATTTTTCATGAAGAATGGAAAAATACAGCATCAGAAAGCTGAGTAGAATGTAAAGTCTGCAATGAGTTACTCAGGTGGATGTAGAAAACTGCTCTTGTATGATTTTTTTTCTTATTTAGTGATGGTAGATTGATCCAGGCCTTGATCTTATGTTTTAGAAATATATATATATTGATTTTGGGGTTAAAGCAAACATATCCCAAAATATAAAACTTGTTTATTGTTAGATATACATAGTGTAATATCAGTGATTACAACTTTTCACCGGGTTAATCAGTTCCCAATACCTGTATTAGTTTATATGAAACAGGATTGCTCAGAGACTGCTTTGAAGAACATGTAGCAGACAATGTTTGATTCTGTTATTGCACTACATTTTCTACGAAATCGTGTCTTATTCTTCATACTGGAATTAAGTATGTTTAAATTGTTTAAGCCTCTGAAAATCAGGATCTAGGAATCACACTGGTGTTTTACTATTTGAACAGGTTTGGTTAATTCCAATTATCTCAAAGATGAAAATTATCCCATCCTGTTAGGTGTTTGGCCTAATAACTGAAGCATGCATTAATATGTAAAAAAACAAAACCTGTACCTTCCAATCGTTTTCTGTTTAACATCTACTGTTTATGCATTTTAAGGTCATTGACTCGTCAGAAAACTCCGTGTTTAACTTAAATCTGGTAAGGACAATTAGATGGGTTTTTATCACATTTTATTACCAAATTGTTAAACCTAATTGGTGAACGAAAACTTACCGAGAACATTTGAATTTGTATGTTTTACACTAGCACAACTGTGTAAGAAGTCGAGTAGTATGGTGACGATGAACTTATTTTAAGAAATAATCTTCCAAATTATTTGTTATGTGGAATGTATCAGGATGTGGATTCAGTGCATAAAAGCAGGGTTTTGACATGCTTGAACAACATTTGTTTATCAGCATTACAACTTATTCTGTAATACTTGTTTACTGTTATTCTGCTGTATCTCATGTGAATGCACGGACATTTTTGCAGAGATGTGTATATCGTTTAGAATCTCGAAGTCTTGTTTATAAGCGATGCGAGCGATACACGTGGAAGAAGTTTGTGTTGCCCGGTGTTACGAATCAACCAGAGCATAACAAGTACATTGACTTCATTTTAATCACAGTTGTTGTATGATATTGTTTTCTCCACTCGTTACATTTACAGTGCACATTTATTTTCTATTTTAACTTTAATTATCAAGGGGACGACTACCCCCAAAATTAGATCCCACCAACATGTTTTTGCTTTAATAATTGTGTTGTAGGAGGGAGCCAGTTTACGTTGTAGTCTAAAGATTCTTGCTTATTTCAAAACAGAAACTGTTTTGTATTTCAACTACGAAGTTGTACCTGTTGCATAACCTATAAAATTCATATAGTAAGTATACACAGAAAAATATGGTATTCAAAATAAAGTTTATTGAACTGACGGGTAATCAAAAAATGCCTTTTTTTTTCTCAGTAAATTGTATTCAACATATGATATGTTTCTTTCTTTTTTACTTCATGGTCTTAACGTCATCTCGGGCCCTCTTTTAGGTTCTTCATTAATGTGTACGCAGACCAAAATGTCGTCTCAATATCAAACCAAATGCAGGAGAAGTTCGTAAACACATAGTCAAAAATTGAAAGATTTTGTATTTACTTATGCACGTATTTCGTTATTAACTCGGCCGTCATAGAAATATGTCTAATTATAAAACTCCAAACTCGAGAAACAGTTGATAGTACATTGTCTAACTATATGTCTAACAACAAATAAACACAGAGTGTAGCTTGTCATATGATGAAACTGAATCATATCATTTATCAACAGCGATTTCTTACCGTGATTATATAAACGCCACGTTCATGAATTGTTTGTTCATTTACTTTATGTGTTTGTTTTTGTTTTTTTTTGTTTTTTACATTCAATATCCCAAACGAATCAAGTTTACTGTATAAGTTGCCCAAGTCTGGATTATTCTATTTCTAGTATTGGCTGTGTTATACAACCACGATGTTTAACTTAAGTACAATAGTACCATTTTTGTATTCAAATACGTAACGTGATTATTCTTAATATTGTAGCCGAAATTATCATCGGTGCCATGTTTTACCGAATTCCAGTCAAACTCAAAAAGTCGGAGGAATCATCGCTCCTATTTCGTGTCCCCCTCCCTTTAAACTACCGGTACACATGCTCTTCATCCATATTCCCTGGCTGAAGTCATCGCTGAACTGGATTTCCTAGCCTCGCTCTGTTGGCCGCGTGCCCGAACGCGCGTCTAGCTGGGGCTGGGACGGTGTGGCCCAGCTGCTGTTAGTTCTGTTCACAGTCGTTACCTTTTCCTGGCTTACTCTGACCTCGGTTTGCCATTATAGTTGCTTTTGTCTCTTGTGTACAGCTGCCTGTTGCCACATTATATTGGAAGGCTGCTGTCGACGTTCTTCGCAGCGTCAATTCTTCGTGAACAATAAAAACACAACTTAATATAATTGTTACGAATGTTTCAAGTTACTTAAGTTTAAGAGATCGAAAAACATACGTGTTAGTAGAAAAGAGAGTTGCTCATATTAGTTAATATTTATTAATTAGTTGACAAAGTAAGTTATAAATTAACGTATAATACTCAGAATTACCCCCTTTTTAATACAATTAATTTGCTCGTATGGTTATTTTATTCATAGAGGGACAAAAAGAAACGTAGTTTGTTTTGCCAAGAATTTTGTGAACATGCTAAAAGTATATTTAAAAAATGACGCTAACAAGATGTCTTTAAGACGTTATTTTTTGAAAGCAAGAATTTCATGACTTTCTATATAGTTGATTTCACATCACCACCATGAAGAATAGGAATTTGTTTTTACATGTTTGTTTAGCCAAACTTCACTAACTTTAAATCTGTTTATGTAATTGAATTAATCTGTAGTCTTTATTGCTATATTAGAAACTAAAAATACAACTTACAGTATTTTACATTTAATTTAAAATATCTTTGTTGTGTAACTTGTATTGATTTATATCTTGCATTTCAATAATTTAGTTTTAGTTTGTTCGTTGTTAAATCATTTTAGCTCACTTAGATGCTTTAAGTTTCAGTTTTGTTTTTACACTGTCAGAGTGAGATATTTTGTTTTTTGTGTGCATATAGGTATAGGTTAATAGAGATTTTTTTGTCTGAAAACTGTTAAATATGTTAAAGTACACAGATAATGTTAAAGACCAAGTGACAAATAGAAGTTATGATCATATTTGAACATATGTTACTAAATTTATGGGAAAATCACTTATCATTTTCTCCACATAAGGTTTGGTACATAACAATATCTTTTGTCACCAAAAATAACATCATACTGTTATAAAAGTATTTTTTGTCTTTCTGGTTAATCCACAGTAAAATTTTTATTACTATCTTGTATTCTATGCTGCAAAATTGTAGTGGTAAACTTTTATAGTTTAAAATTATTCTCTACAGTATACTAGTGACTTTTATACTAAGTTCTTTATGCAAATTATTTTACCAGATTAAGGGCTGCATCTTTGCCCATATTTGAGATAACTTTTGTGAATTAGAGCTAAATTGTTCTTTCATTAATGTAATTTCACAAAGAGCATGCTCAGAGTGATTCAGATGATTGAATTGTAATATTCGCTATCTTCAAACTATGGTGATTAGTGTTGTTTATTTATTTGAACTGATTTAGTTAACATTTAAAATACATTGAAACTGAAGCTAATGTTTGTGTGCACTGGTAAAAAGTTTTCATTGCAGACACAGAAAGGTTTGGTGTTACTTTGTTGGAGTGGCTTTGAAACTGAAACACTGATAATTCTCAAAAGATACATGTTATTTGGATTTATGTAATGGAAATGTTATTTTTATATGCCTTGTCATAAATAAATCATTATTATCAAGTAAATTTTAGTAACTAAAAAAAAACATACTCCCCATTTATAAAAAGTAGTATAATTTATTAGATTACTGATGTTAGTTTCTTGAAAATAAATAAAACTGCATTTTTCAACTTATATTTTATTAATTCTTTTAAGACACTGAGTATATACACACACAAAAAATATACAAGTTTCTAATTGTAGTATTCCAAAATAGAAAAATGGGTAAACCATTTGAATGAGTAAAACAAAAGAACTTTCATCAGGTACCAATATAGTTGTTTTAGGTAAATCATTGAGTATGTCACATTTTCCCTGTACAGCTGTTTTTATTATATTTTAATGATATACTGTCTACAGTGTATTTCTGATTGCCAAATAACTAATTTAGTGATGCTTAGTGAATACACCATGAATGTTTTCAAATAAAGTAAAGTTTATAGGGTATAGAAAATCAAATGCAAGTGAATCTATCTCTCTATTTGATTTTCATGTAAGTTTGGACTTGATTTTGAGGTAAAAACAATAAAATAAATTTAGGTATTGATTATTGATTGATTTATATAGAAACCAGTTATGTGAGTTGAAGATTATTACTGGAATGTATATAGTTATAACTTAAACAGAGATTGTAAACATTAACTTTCCTAATATGAAGCTAGCTTTTTTAAGCAAAGGTTAAAATGATGCTAAAAATAGAGTTGGAAAAGCCCTAAGTTTGTAATAGTTTTTGTTACTGTTTCAAAATAGGCAACTATGCTAAGTTACTTCTCTGGTTCTCTTGTCTACTTCTGTTATATTTCTAACAAGTTCACTGATATCATGGTGGACTTGTCAAGAGTAGTTTAGAATTGTATTGGAAGGTTGTACTTGTGCATTTTGAATATTTGATCTAGAAATGTGGTATGTACATCTAGCTGCACTTGTTACATGGAGCTGAATTTTCATATAACTTGAGATGTTCAATACCATAAGCAACTATCAGTGTCTATATATTTAAAGGAAAAGGTGATTAAAAAAATAATAATAATAATGAATTTTGTGTGTTACAAACTGTTTTAAAAAGAAGTGGCTTCTTACAGTATTAATGTACATAAACTTGTCAAAGGCTTTACAATTAATCTAAGGTTCAAACTAAATTAGATATGAAAAAAAAAGGCCTCAGATAGTTGTAAAATATTTGGTACTTTATTCAGGAACAGGTGTTTCAAAATATTGCTTATCAAAAATATATTCACTGTGAAAGTGCACACAATAGAAGCACATAATATAATTTATAAATATTTTGTCATTGTAAAAAACCCAATAAAACAAGTCTGTCATGAAAAAAAAAGGGGCAACATTTTTTGAATGTTAATTCAAACAGCTCTTTTTATTTGTTATACACACAGAAAATTTTGGATATTTTAAAAGTTTTGTCCTGGAATATTCTATCAAAGGAAGAATCAAAACAGAATTTCAATTTGTTCCAGGAAGACAAATTTTGAAAAATGAGAGAAAATGATCAGTAATTTTGATGCTGCCTTGGAAGAGGTAAACCCTGCCAAACGAAATAATCCTGGAAATTAAAGTGTATTTTGATGAAGTCGTATAGTTGAATGAAGGGAAGGCAGTCATAGTTGGTGAGAAATTGCAGTACCAGTATCCACAGTGAATAAGATGACAGTGCAGTTTGACTCACATTAGCAAACAACAGTTTCACATTGTTCAGTTACCCAAAACCTGCAGAATGGACTCTTGTTGTTGTAAAGAGAAATGTGGAGAATGACCCACATTAAATGTTGTAAGACAGGCAAATGCACCCAGTAGCATTAGATACAATGGAGGAGTAAGCTAGACGATAACTACTGCATATTCCAGGAAGTATCGTACATTGACAGCAATGGGCATCACAGATGCTATCCAAACTCTCCTGGTTTTTGAAACAGTATAATTTGTTCTTATGAGTCCAAATCTGCACAATTCTCGGACAGTGGACAACTGGGTTTAGCAACTATCCTCTTGGTAACTTTCATTGAACCCATTTAAAAACTAAAACAGTGATGTGAGGTACTATTTAGTCAGCTGTACAATCACAGCTGGTAGTATATGGAGGGACAGTCACTATTGTTCAGTACCTTGCATTTCTCAAGAAAGGCCTACTACTTGCTTACACCAATGACAAGCTTACCAGACAAAGCGGTTTTTTCTTGCAAGATGGAGCTCCTGCTCATTAAGCTTGAGTCACAAACCATAGGTTGAAGTTCAGAGCATTACTACTGTTTTTGTAGCCTGGCTAATTGACAAGTTTGAACACTGTTGATTATGTGTGATCTGTTCTTGGTTGTACCTTTTGAAAGTATACCGAATAACCAACTTCTAGGAGAACATTCATCCAAGTTCTTCACCAGGAGTTGTATGTAATCTCACAGGACCAAGTTTCAGATTTTGTAAATTCAATGTATAACAATGTTTCTGCTTTAAATGTTGTAAAGGGCAGATCTATTAAATACTAATGGTAGTCTTTTACCCTTTGTTTTATGTTTGTTTATGTAACAAAATGACATGGAGATGACTGTTTGCTCTCTCTTATTTTACCACTTGAGTAATGACTTGTTTCTTGGGAGGAAATGTTTGAATGATGCTTTTAAAATACCTGCAGTTAGTGTAGGAATTTATAATCATTCCAAGGCTTAATGAATGATTTTTTATGATTAAGTAATTACATGTAATGTCTTTTATAATCACTAATTGTTTTGTTATGTCGTAATACATTCCTAATGAAAAAGAAAACCAGCCACCATGGGCTAATACACAAGATACTTAAATATATAATTTTAGATCCAAGTTAGTTATTAAGGTTTATAACTAGTTAGATATCTGTTTAAGATGAAATTTATTAGTAAAACTATTTATAAATATAGACCAATCAAAGGAATTTAAAAGTTATAATGAGCAGTTTGTATTAATTCATCATGTTGACACCCTTGCTGTGTATGGCGCTATAAGCCCTAATTTTTATACATTTACATTTTCGAGATACACAGAAATATTTCTTTGACAACTTAAAATACTAGGTAAAACTGAAGTTTTACAATGGCAGTATTACAGTTTAAGTAGATTTTATGGTGTAATGGAAACAGTTGAGTGGTGTAGATATATTTTCACATTGGTAAGAATCTTGATACTTTAAAACAGTGATTCCAACTGATAAATTTTAAACTAGCTTTTTTCTTTTCTTTCACTTATTTCAAACTTATTTCTGGTAAAAATCTTCACTTTTCTTAATTTTCTTCATTATTTCTGACCACATATAAACATTTGCTGAAGTACAGAAGGCTTTGTTAAAATAAGTATTTTTAATAAACAAAATTTAATAGCATTAAATATCAACACACAATATACTTTTTTTTTTAGTGTATTCTGGGATTTATATTGTGCAGCCCCAGAGAGGAGAGACACCTGTGAACATTCTAGTGAAGCCAAAGCATTTCATGATTATGTAAGTAGAATATAATCATGATTTCATTATGCAGTGATAGTTATAGTGTGTTCCTAAGCATTATAAAACAATACAAACATGTGTGTTAATGATCAAGTGATAATATTTTAAGTAATAAATGGACTATCTATGCTTGTGTTTATTTAAAGTTCTGGCATAAGAAATGTTGTTTCTTTTCAATATGTTTAAGTCATCTCTAAATTAGATTAGTGTTCAAAATAAGTTGGTAAAGTAAAAAATACTGGAATAGTAACCTTTGAATTACTTTTGGGGATCCAGAGCCTATTATTTAGTTTGATATTCATTTTAATAAATGAAATGTATTTAATACATTATCAATTAAGACAATTCAAAATAAGCATTATTTTTATTTAAAAGTTAATTAGGATAAGTTATCTCTCATAATTTTGTGAAATAAGCTAGGCCTATTCTCAAAAAGGACCATTCCACATAAATTAACTTATTTTTACCTTTATCATTGCTATTTGTAGTCTCAGCATCTCCTTTCCTTATTTGTTTAATTAGGAAATGAGCCATTTTGTTTTGGTTAGTTTTTTACACTTGAGTATTAGACAAGAACATAAGTTTGCTTAATGTGATGGAGACAATAACTGAGGCAATTTTTTGAGTTTCTTGGTAGAAATATAAACTGTTATTTGTTTTTCAAACTCATAGTTAATCAGTAATGAATTTGTTAATTTTTTATTAATATAATTCAAAAATGCTTAATGATCTTGTTAGATTTCATAAAATTTACCATTAAAGATTTTCCATCAAATATATGGATCTTTTATTGAAATTTGTGTTGATTTCTTGATTATTTCTAATAAAACATATCTTTATGGTTGCTATTTGTTCATGGAAATGAGGTTTTTCAAAATAAAATATCAAGATTAAAATCTAATTGTGTACCTAAAATCCAGCCTTTTTTGTTCTTCTTCTTATTTTTATATTGGTCTACATTCAGTTCTTAATTGCTATGAATTTAGGTGCCATAGGAATAACATTTAGTTGAATATCCAATGAAATGAGAATACACAAAGGGAAACATGTTAACGATACAAAAAGTATGGTCTGTTGTTTTGCAAATCACTCTTGATCTTACACAGCAAAGTCATGTAATTTGCATTATTCATTTTGAAGTACTTAAAATTGGAATAAAACTTTGTGGTTTTAGGATGCAGTTTTTCAGGATCAAGGCAGTGAACTATATGCTTTTAAAAAGGAATATGACCTATCCCTAATAGGTAAAGTTATGTTTTTTAGTACACAGTATTAAAAGTATTGGGACTATTTTTTTCCCCATGCTCAAAATTAAGCATTAGATTTAAATGAGTTATTTCTAGACAGAAAATTTGTTTTTGAATCATGAAATTTATGGCACAGTATCTATAATTTGAGTCCATTATCTCTCAAATGTTTACTTAAATATGGTAATTGGAATTGAGAATTTAACAATCAAGTCCATTGATTGATTGGACTCTAATGTGGAATACTGTACGTGAGTGGACACTAAGGTTAATTGCTTCTTTCTGTTTGGAGAAATCCTCTTTCTGATGAGAGAAAAACCCTCTTTAATAGTATGAAACATTTTTCTTTCCCTTCACTACCTGATGGAACAATGAGGACACTAAAGTTGCTTAGAGTAGGCTTTATTTTGATATACGATAGTCAGAGGTTGGCAGTTGTGGGTTATTTGGACTGTCACGCTCATGCTAGAAAAACAGTTGGAGTTGTACTGGTAAATGAAAGTCTGTGTGGTTTTCTTCTTTCTAGATATATTTGCAGGAAAGTCTGAGATGATCCATGGAATGAGGTAATAGCACAGTTTCATGTAGTAGATGTGTTCAACTTCCAGAACACACTTTTTCCTTGTTTGTAATGTGACCAAAACATCTGCAAAACTGTCATAGCAATCTGTATAGCATTACATATACTATAATTTTCCGTGATTATTTAAAAGGAAAGAATATTCTAAAATTGTACAACTCTGATAAAGTATTCTTTTTGAGGGAATTATGCTTTTACACCTTAAAAAAAACAACAACAACAAGAAAATCTGAAGTAAAAACAGTCACCTCACATAGCATGGAGTTGATTTCTTAAATATTCTTTTTTTTTGCTACTATGTTCATAATGATGATATTTATCTCTAAGAATATTAAGTTATTTTTTTGTTTGTTTAAAGAGCTTATGAAATTGTTCATTACCATTTAATCTACTTCTTGGTCAGTCATATAGAGTTTTGAATGTGAAGAGATTTAAATGTGAATTCTTTTTTCTGATGCTAATATTTTATATAACTGAATATTAAATATTTAAAATTATTCACCTGTTTTTGTTCAGGTAAGTAGTTTGTCTATATCTTTATAGTTAATGGTTCATATGACATTTAAATATTAAAAAGATAGCTTTGCCTGTTAATGTAAAGTTAAAAAAAATTGTAGAATTATAAAAAAAAAGTTTTTCACAGTGATCATCATTATGTAGTCCATTATATAGATGAACACTAAACATTTTTATAGGTAAAATTGCTTCCATTGTATTGTAATGACAGTTATAAAATTGAAAAATAAGTAAACATTTTATGATGTTTGATTTACAAAAATTAGTCATCCTATAAAATCCCTTTAAAGAGATCTTATTTCAAGTCACAACACTGATCATTGGGTTGTTGATTTTTCAGAGTAGAGAAATCGGTCAAATCTTTTATAAAGAGTGTTTGAAAATCCATTTTTACTTCCTAGAGATTTTCTTAGTGTTGTTAGCTTACATCCGTAAGTATAGTATAGAATAAGGTTAAATAGGAAAAGTGTAACAGTGGTTAAGTTAAAAACAAGAAACTGCTATAAAAAAACTATTTTATAAAATTAAGTATATGAGAAAGATGTTCTAACCTGCAAAATCTTGTCTTAGATGTGTAAAAAAATAAAGTTTTCTGGGTTTTGCTGTTTAATAAAGTAAACAAACAAAAACCTGTCAGGAAATCAGATTGGTCTTTTTCCTTACCAAGAGCTATCTTGAATCCGTAAAAGTATATCGGTTAATAATAAATAAAGCTATGTAAAAAAACAAAAACTGAGGAAGTTATCTAAGACAATGTATAGAGCACTTCAGCTATTTCTTGTTTTTTCAAACGTTTTTATACTGGGTGTTGAGATGGTATAATATTTTGAAAGTAAAGGAATGTGTGTATATAGATTCCTAGTACTTAAACCAAGAAGAAAGAGAGAGAGACGCCTATGTGTTTAATTGTTTCATATGCATGGTGACTTGTACCAGAGTGGAAAATTTTAACAGATGGAAAGAAAAAAAAATTAATATTAAGTTTAACTGAAATATTCATGAGGGTTTAAACTGCATCAATGAAGTAAGAGTCTTATTTAAAAGTGGCCAACATTATTTGTTCCAGTTTTTGAAATTTAACAAAATTTGTAATCTACCTTATCAGCATGTACCCATTTGCTCTCTTCTTTTTTAACCCTCGATTTATTCTCACACCCTCCTGCTCTGTGCTCTTGTCTGTTAAGATTTTTGCAAAAATGAACATGACATTAGTTTCTTGAGTTATGTGGGTGTTGGGAGTTTTTGCTTTCAACATAAAAATTGAGATGAAGCCTTGTTACATGAACTTGCTTATATAGCATAGACCAGTGGCTCCCAAACTAGCGTCCACACATGAATGCAAGAAGAAATGGATGAAGTTTCAGTGCAAACTAGTGAGGTTGGGAGGTGGAGCCACCACAATCTTAGCTCTAAGTACACAAACTTTTATTTTAGTTGACTCTGAACTGAATGGAATATGTTACTTGAAAGGAAGTGTAAATTGAAAATTATGTGATTCAGAAGACAGCTTATAAATTTTTTATTGTCAGACACATGAATATTACATCAGTCAAAAGAAATATTTAAGCTTTACAAATGGTTTACACAAACGTTAATGTACTGGATGTTAAACAAATTTTGCTTTAAGACATTAAAATTACATGTGTTTAAATTTAAAGAAATACACAAAAGCATATTTTAAGTATATAACAACAAAAACCTCAAAAATATTGAAATAATAACAATGTACAGTTTGAATAACATAGCAGTAGAACACAAATATGGGTTGTTTATAGATTAACTTCTCTTTTACAAACAAACTGAAATATCCACATCTAAAGTTTTTTCAAAATAATAAGTTAAAAATTGTTATGAAGTGAAAAAATAAATAAAAAGTTACCAAGCACTTTTTTTGGTTTTAGGACAACAAATCCATAGAAATTAATAAGCTATTAAAAACAACTAAATATTGCTATACGGTTTACATGTCTGTAAATGATTATGCATACAAGTATGAATGGAAATGTATATATATTTATGGACTTGGTAATTTTATAGTTTGGTCCTGATACTATTAAGATGCATCATTTTATCTTTGTATGTATCTTTGTTATATTCCTTCTGTGAGAATGAGACAATTCAAGTGACAGTTAGTTAACTATTGCCCTTTACAAACCAACATGCTTGTTATAAACGTGCCTACCTTTGCTTTGATGGGTCACTTCTGTAATTCTTTTGCCAGCATGACAAAAAACCAAATATGGGGATATTCGAGAAAGACGAAAAACAATTTCGGAGAAATGTTTTTATTTTACCTGACGTCTGGGCTAAAATCAATTGTACAATATGATTATTTTGAGGCGTGCTCACTAATAGTAAGAAATACTGGTACTTGTACATAATGTTTTAGAACTGCCTATGTCAAAGCCTGTATATTATTCTGTTTTTATCCGCTGGTCATAGAATGGCTCCGAGTTTTTTTTATCAACTACAAACTTTTAGCTCATAGCTCCATCATCTCTTGACCGATTTGAGACCTAATTACAGTTTTGGACTCAGGAGGTCAAACCCTTTTGATTGATGTATTTGACCACGCCTAAGGTCTGGTAGAGATCCTGATAAAATCCAATCGGGTATACGCGCGCCCCACGCTTGGTATTGCTGGCGCACAAAAA